CAGGACTAGTCTGATCTTGTATGCCTATATATACTAAACTACACAAGAGTACTTAGGGAGTATGAGCCACTAAGAATGATAAGCTACAAAGAATGAAAGAAAGGAATGTCAAAGATAAAGGTACAAAGAATGAAGGGATGGACAAAGGGTAAGAGACTATAGAATGAACAGAGAATGAAGGAGTGGTCAAAGGAATAGAATGATGAAGTAAGGAAGGGTAGTAGTAAGAGTCAGTACACATATAGTTCATAGACAGTGCCCCTGAGGGACAGAAGTCCTGAGTTCTAGTACAGAAGGGTGCAGAACCCTTGGAACTGAAGGTAAGAGAGTAGAGGATTGTAACAATTGCTTCTCATCTTTCTCCTGTATATCCTGTATGTTTTCTAATAGTTTATCCAGCTTGTGTATGTCTGTAGTCTACTTAGTGTTATTAATGCCTTTGTACTATATACATGTTAGAAACATCTTGTGTTTAATCCTGTACTGTAAGAAAAGATTGTATACATACTCATGTAGCCTCTAGTAGTAGGTAATGCTTTACATGTTAGTATAACACTCTAGGCTCTCAGAGATAAAAAATAGGATGTTAGTAACTGGAGTGGTTTTGTAGACTACACTTTTGCTTAGGATGACTCTCTTTATACTAAGGATTATGTAGTATTTGGGTATTTGGCAATATGTGCATTCACACAATGGATACACAGTTAATGGATCAGTCACAATGAAAATCATAGCTTAGTGTCTAAAGTAGTTCTAGTGTACACATGTATAGAGTAATAGTAATAGAAAGGTTCACTTAATTATGTACACACATTAGGGGAAGAACTGAAAGTAGTAACTTTAATAAAAGTAGTAATAAGAGACAGAGGGGAAGGAAATTAACTATGTGTAATTAAATGTTTATTAGAAAAACTGTCTATTTTATTTGTTGCTCCTTACTATTGTACTAATTCTATACACTGGTATAATAATTAGAGACAGAACAGAATTAGCAGAATATTCTCACAGGTAGCAGGTTTTGCAGACAGGAATGAGACGCGTCTCGGAAATTTGACTGTATTAGGCTTAGTACATACTACAAATAGTCTAGTTTTATGACTAATCATTGGACTTTAAAGATGTGGCACAGTCGCGAGGGGGGGGGGGTTGTCTTTACTATATAGATCATCCTATGCACATTGTTGAATCAGCGACACGCATCCAAGTAGCTGATGAAGTGGCGTGGATCGTCGACAATGTCAAGCTCCCACCTTAAGGTGACAATCATACATCGAGAAGCAAAGAAACGACGCAAATCAGATCGGAAGTAGATCCCGGGCTTGTTTGATAGCTGCAGGGAGAATCATTCTATAGAAGAAAGATCCAACAGCAAAGGTACTACCGGGATATCGGGATACCGATCGTCTAATTTCGACATGAATCGTAGAACCGCGCATCCCGAAAATGTGAATAAATGCGATATTTCAAGAACGCACGCTCAATTAACAAGCGTAGGTAATGAGAACGTGACATTATGCCTCGGGTTGTTTCATTGTTTCGGTGTACATATCGACGCGGAGGCTCGAAGTTATATTCGTTGGAGTGCTTGTTACAATGTTTTTCGATTCCACTATGAGAAGTTCCGTAATATCGGAGATCGAATGGTCCGCCAGCTTGTCCCGTAGTATCGACGTGTGCTCTTTTATCTGGTTTTCCACGACGGCGACTTCTTTCCGTTGACTGTAACGGCCGCAGGGATACTCAATTCGGTGACAATAACACCGGAAGGAAACATACTGTAGAGCTTACGAAGAGAGGTACATGTTCCCAAGTTTTCACTCCGAGGTAAATCCACAGTAGTCTCCGAGCGTGTACCTTAGCACAAGGGTAATTGCAAGCGGTATGAATGGGACAGCACTGACGTCTCAGGGAAGTATACGCGTGGGTGTGAGACGCAGACGGAGTCCAGCATCGGCTCCGACGGCAGACTAGTTTGCCATATTGACGCTACGATAAGCTGAGTTATTTGCGACCTACAGGACGCCTAGGCAGTGTCTGGAGGCTTTCACTAGTGTTCTCGTGTCCCTACGTGACGCCAGACAAGATGGAAGTTGGCCACACTTGAAGTACACGGATGCGTTGTGTCTAACCTTCCGCAGAGCACAAAGCCCTTTTCTGCACTCGAGGTTATGGATGGTAGATCAACGACAGAAGAGTCTGCCACAGACGATATTAGAAAGCCTAAGTAAAGCATTGGCAATCCGAGGTAAAAGATGCTTTGTTTCTCGATAAGTCAGATGTCACGAATTGTAGAGGATAGCTCGAAGGTCAGTGAAGAAACTGGACATCTAAGGAAGTGCAGAAGCACGGCTATGAGCGCTTGTCACTGAGTAGTTGTGCCAGGATGCCTTGACACAACAATGATCAGCTAAGAGCACGCCATTGTGCTTCAACGCGATTGGTGCCCATCAATACCTTCTTCGCCATACACATCAGCATACTGGATGGGCTGAGAAAGCAACTCTCTTTGGGTCGATGAAGGGCGTGCCTTAGTAATTGTATATTCACCGGAGCCAGAAAAGAAAGCACCTCAGTTTACTGCGAGATCGGACAGCCATGCTCCCCATTTGTCCAATGTTACTCTTCAGCGTGAGTACCTGGCGTCCCTGGAAGGGCTGAGAAAAGAACACCAATAAATAACGTGTTGAGAGTTACACTGCTTGTACCGGGCGTATTTAGTGAGTATCACGATCGCGAGCAACGAATGTGGCACATACTCTCAACACCCATGGCTTACGACGAAACGTAAGTCAGCCACTCATAAGGAAAGAAGGAAAGATTCGAAGAACGCTCAATCCGACAAAATGATCGCAAACAATTATCGCGACCCATGGGTGAGTGAGTTCATTTCTGGTACAAAGCATGGCGGAGCAAACCTCTCGACCGTCTGTTGTGCGTGCTCGAGTGGCTAGCTGAACTCGACCACAAGTGACGTGGCGGATGATCCTGGAACGATGTTTCGTTCGATGTGATATATTTTTTCTCCGCCTCGAAACTTTCCCACATTTTGCACCTTTCCGTGCTAGCCTAGCCCACGTCTCTGCTGCGGCTTGACTGGTTTGAAGACTGGCCGACGCTTTACACTCCTCAGCCACACAAAAAAAGCAAGAAGTATAAGTAGCATAACCGATACTCTGATTCCTCTTCGAGTTTTGCGTCAGTTTGCTTTGCCTTGTGTATATACAATTGCCAGTCAGCGTCGCAAAAGTCGTTGGAACCGGTCATACCAGTCTGGCGAGCACTATTGGCGAGGCTAATGGCTGGTTACTGAGCTGAAGAGTGTGCTGTCAGTAGACACCTCTGTGACACCACGAATCCACGATGACGGATATGTACAGGTGTCTTCAATTCATTGGCAGAGGGAGTTGCAGAAAGAGATCGGCATCCGAACCGTGTACAGCACAAGTCCCTCAAAATTGAAGTGAGGACTTGCAGAGATCACACATGGGGCATTTCACAATTCCTTACCTTAAAAAATAACTTACATAATGATAAACATTATTTGAAATTTATTTTCCCATTTTTGACTAGCAAAAATTATAAACAAAATTTAAAACTTTCTTTATACAAAAACTAGAAATTATTGTT